GAGTTATGCACAAAGCGGTAACCAAGAGCGTTTCATGCATGTGCTAAATCTCGCCAGAAACCGCTTACCAGAATTGTCGCCTCTAGAACTTGAAGCAGGATTCAGGTGATCTTAAATATGACCACTGTCACAGCCTACTCTGATGTAAATGTTACAGAGATCTTGCGGACCAGTACTTTCCCAATGCTGACATATTCAACGATGACGAAGAAACTATGGCTGTGTTCAATATACAAAAAGGTGGCGATGCAAGGATGAGGAAAAGTGCGAGAATCAGTCTTGATTTCATACTATCTAAGCAAGCTTACAAGTTTTCTTACAGATCGCCGTCGGTCATCTCTTGCCGCTTTTGAGGCGCGCGCCAAGGACAACTTCAAAATGGCACACGGACCTGCAGTTGCAACATTTGGTTCAGCGAGTTGGTCGCTTTCACTCTTCAGAACAGTCCTTGACAGGGCAATCATCAGAGTTGGGGATTTTGGTCGAGTCCGTACGACACCCCCCCCCCCCACCTCTACAAGGTGGCGTTACGACCTCCATGGTTGTCCACCTGTTCAACGAGTAGGGGCTACCCGAAACGGGAAAAGTCGCGAGGATATACCCTCCCCCTCCCTCCATATTACCTACCATTTTCAAGATTTTGCCAACTTCTTACCAGTTTTCGGAATTTCCCAAGAATTTTCCTGCTTTTGCCCAAAAATTTTGTTGTAGAGCGGGAGAGGGGGTATAAGGACATGTAGAATAGGAAGAGTCGCGAATGCTCCACAACCGGAAAAATATTGTTTCCAACACGCAAGGCAACTACGACCCTCCCCCTTATAGCGTCCGCCAAGAAAAACAATCAAAAAAATTTTCCAGGACCAAGTACGACCCCCTCCCTCGTTACCAAATACGACCCTCCTATTGGGCAATCCCTTACGTTGATGTGTCCTGGTCCCTGAACAATGTGAGAGGAGACTGGTGTACTTCAGCACGTACAAAGCTACGGTTCGAGCTGGTAGATCGTCCTGAAGATGGTTACCTTGCCCCTTCCATCGAGGAGCTGAGAGCAGCGATGGTTAGCAGATCAACAAATGGAAGACAACGAACAATCTCCTAGATGTACCTATGGATATCACAGTAACTTATCCGGTAAATTCCCACTTTCAGCATTTTCTCTCGTTCTGTTCTGCTCTTGTGCAGTTCGAATTATTAATGTTAAGTTTATTTGTTCATTTCTTGTCTTTTCTTCAGCAGGAAACCGTTGTTGCTACTCATCAACAACCGCCTATGGCCGATCCGATAGAGGTACTTTTTATTCGTTTCCTTTTTTGTTCATTTTTATCTAATGAAGGATAGGCGATTTGTCTGCCATTCTCACGGAAAGTCCAATTTTTAGTTGGGTAAACGCAATCGTATTCTGGAGACTGTTGAAGAAGTCGATTCGGACTTCTCGAACGAAGATAAGCGACGACGTGTGTTTTCTCCTGCAGCACCCGTGCGAGGAAGTGCTTTGGCAAAACAGCAAAAGTGTAAGCTTGAAAATTGCTGGAGTGCCTGCTTTTGAGGGTATATCACCGCTCTTGTCGTCCACTGTTTAGCACCAACACAAGCATTGAAACCCTCAACTCGTCCTTCGTCGTCTGCAACATTTATTACCGGCTCTTCGTTCACTGAGAAAGCCTATAATGACATGAAAGCAATGTTATCCGATACTGTGGATATTAACAAAGGTATGTATAGAACCATATTCGTGGGCAGATACAGTTTAAAGGCAGTTGGCACGATGATTTGGTGCTCGGCCTAAAATGCTAGTAGGGCGCTGTATAGTGGGGAAATGGCGAAAGAACGGAGTGAAACGGTCAAAATCCTGCGAAGAAAGAGCCTCCGTTCTCAGTGACTTGAAATCGATTTTGGACGAGTTTCCCGTAGGCATCTTGCCAATCACCGCTACCGAAGGTACGGCTGCATATGTGTACTCATATATCCATGCAGCATCACGGCCGCTTCATACCAATCCCTTCGCTTCATAATTTGCTTAGCAAATGAAGAATACGAGCGTCAGGAACGGTCGTCCATTTGTGGGCGGGCGGGCGTTTGGGTCGTAATGTTGTGGCTTCATAGGGCCCTTATAAGGGCACCTTCCTTGGAAAAGGCATTATGCAGCGCCTGCTCAGGGTCGCGGAATTCCGTCCTGCCAGGCGTATTAATCCTACTCGTCTTGGGGGATTTATCGTGCCAACTGCCTTTAAGGATGCCAGGAGACGGAGCCATTGTTTTGTCACGTACGATTCCTGATGTTTACATGTGAGCCCTCAACTAATTTTTTAGCTGGCGGATTGCCTGGTATTACTGATGAGACGACGCTACCCGTCGCTGCTCCAGCTATTGAAGCTTTTGAGGTAGGGATAGGGACTTTTGAAGAACTGAGGAACTCTCCTTTTCTGAGAGAAAGTGAACGAATTAAATTATCCGGCAAGTTCAGGTTTTCATTGACAAGGATGAAACTCAGCGTCCTCCGAGTCGAAAACAGGATGAAAAGTGAGTGTATGTCGATTATGTGTGGGTATCTTTTTATGTACAAAATATACAAACCAGGTGTTTTTACTGTTTGAAATGCGGTAAGCCGGGTTTCGTCAGTTGGTTCATGTGAGCCCTGAGTTAAGCACAATGTTGGCACTTGGGCAAATTCCGTATTCATAAACGGACGAAGGTTTCTCTCTTCTGAAAAGTAACGTAGTTTCAATCACATTCTTCCCCTGTGGAATCTTTCTTTACAGCACATCCTGCTGTGTTTCTCTTGTGAGCTTTCTTTCCTTCACGATATTTCTCTCCAATATGACCTCCTCCCTTGGCCACCCTGCCTATCACTTTCTCCTAGTTTCCTAGAAAGCCCTCGGAAAATTCTCCAGGTTTTCCTCAAGTTTTCGTTGTCGTGAAGTGGAGGGGGGGGAGATGGCAGCGGGTGTATATACACTTGTGAAACGGGGAAAACCTTGAATAGCTAGCAACAGACAAAGAGGCAGATTTCTTTAACATGGCAAATACGGCCCTCTCCCCTCTCCTAACGACGAACAACTATGAGATCACCACCCTTCACCTCTTCCAGAGTTCTACCAACGACGTGAAGAGCTCTCGTCGTTGGGGAATAAGATTTCTGCCCAGACCAATGCGACCCCTGGCCAGCCACCAAATACGACCTCCCGCTGGGATCCTCCAACGTAGGAGGTGCCCTGATTGTGGTATGTCGATTGACCCATAATGCAATTTTAGCTTGTCGTCTCGTCCTGCCACTCAGTCTCGTTCCCAGACAGAACGCGCACCACTTCATCAGATCCCACTGCAAGTTGCTGGCGGGGACTCTGAAAAAGTAACCGAAATTAAGGTTTAGCTCTTAGCTTCATGGGAACGTTACAGGATTATCCAAAATTCGAGTTTCAGAAAAAAGGTGTTCTCAATGAGCTACAGGATGGCGACGTGTTCAAGCCTCAGAAATTCCTGCTGATTGGTCAGTTACCCATGGGTTTTCCTGTAGTCAAGGACAACGATTTCTAGATTACAGAAGACGAAGAGACTATGGCTGGAGCGAAGTTTTCAACTCTGGGTATTGATAAGAAGCCTGATCGTGGAATTGTTACATCGACTCCAGCTTATCAGATGCATCATCCGCCCACTCATGAAGGTATTTTGTGTAAAATATTCCGCAGTGGTGCGTGGTTACACCATATATACTTCCAGATTTCTTTGCACCGCTGAACCATCAACTAGAGGAGCAGGCAAAGAAGAAGGAGGACGAGGAGGAAATCTACGCGAGATCGGCTTTCATGGTAACGGTCGAAAACAAGCCGGCCTTCATAGTATTTCTCAGCATAACTTTTCAGCGACGTCGCTCTGTAGCACCAACGAAGACCGTAACTCCAGCAGCAAAACCTGTAGCACCACAGGCTAGAACAGTCCAAGCTGCTGAACGCTCTATGGAGTTAGCGCTGGATAAGATGAAACTTGGTGACGCATCAGAGAACGAAATGGAAAGCGATGGTAGTGATGCTCACAACAGGACTGGTGTAGGACTTGTTAAGTGAGCGAATAGGTCTTATTTCATTTTGATTGAAATTGTTAGGCTGTGTTCATAAATTTGCAGCAGCGTTCACCAGCGCAGTTTCCCGAGCGCCAACGACTAGGAAAGTAGCTAGGGTAGTTAGTATCGATTTAGCGAACACCAACGTCCAGGAGTAGAGTATGAGAAGTAGGAGGGTAGCAGACAGCTGGATTAGGCGTAGTGAAATTGCGGCGTGTGCAGCCGCACCATCACACACCTTCAATTACTAGGCTAATGCCGTTTGGACTCCAGCAATTTCGGCACCGAGCTCATTTTTAAATTGCCTAAGTCACCAAACCCGCTGAAAACATGTACACAAGGGTTATTTAACATCGTGATTACTACACTCATTCTTGGCGCTGGCGCCAAGAGATGACACTACGATACCACCTCCTGGGCTCAACCTTAGCAGAGCGCAGATAATCGTACTGTCATTAGAGCGTTCAGCAGCTTGGACTGTTCTAGCCTGTGGTGCTACAGGTTTTGCTGCTGGAGTTACGGTCTTCGTTGGTGCTACAGAGCGACGTCGCTGAAAAGTTATGCTGAGAAATACTATGAAGGCCGGCTTGTTTTCGACCGTTACCATGAAAGCCGATCTCGCGTAGATTTCCTCCTCGTCCTCCTTCTTCTTTGCCTGCTCCTCTAGTTGATGGTTCAGCGGTGCAAAGAAATCTGGAAGTATATATGGAGTAACCACGCACCACTGCGGAATATTTTACACAAAATACCTTCATGAGTGGGCGGATGATGCATCTGATAAGCTGGAGTCGATGTAACAATTCCACGATCAGGCTTCTTATCAATACC